CTAGCTTGTGAGCATGACAGGGTTACTCTGTCAAAAATAGAATTTCAAAAAGCAATCATTTTGGGCACGATAAGCATGTTTATTCCAAAACATCAGATGCAGCACATTTTGGTATTCAGCTGCTGAGTCCATCGTTTGTTGGCCATATGATAACCAGTTGGAACTCTTTCACCTCTTTCCATGACTGATTTATTTACTCGTTTCATTGAGTCAAATCAGAAAATTCATTTTATAGGAGGTTTGTCATTTACATATTTAAAGATATTTCTAGATTTGTGTTTCTAACATAACAGATTTATTTTCTTAGTATACACAAAAGTTTAAAGTCCAATCAGTCAAAAATAAATACAGCCATAACATTATAACTGAATTGTTTTCTTTGTTATGCTTGTTGCGCTTCCTTTTAGAGTGACATGACATTTCTCTTTTGATTTCATTTTTTAAAGACAGACAATATATAGCCCATGCTGCACTTTACACTCAATAAAATAGATATTAAAAGCCACTGCAATACATTTTTCACTTTCAAAATTTGATTAACACTCATATTGAGATTACATAGTTTTATTTGGCTTTGACTGATTTATTGATTGATTTCAATAGTAACTTTTTTTATATTATCAGACAAGGTTTGAAAGCAGCAACACAAACTGCAGTTTGTCAGTTTCCTGAACGGTTTGCGGCTGCTGGCTTGTGATACAAACTCTATTTTTGCATTCAACAAGTTTATTGTGATTGATCAGATAACAGACCATTTAGTTCCCTCATATCTTTAAGAAAAGTAGCATTTCAAAAAACACTTATCCAATACTTAATGTAAAAAAAATAATTGCACCATCACATTATTAACAATAATTTATTTTTGCAATTTTTAATTCCCAAAGCCTAAATTATCTGCTCAAATGTCTCTGTGATTTTTTCTTTTCGGTGAAGATAACTTTTTAATCATATCAATTATACATATTGTCATAATTGTATCCCGTAATTATGACAATATGTTCATTTTAGCTCTAGTCGACTCCATTTTGGTTTTCGAAAATGTCTTAAAGTGGACAAACATTTCAACATGATGCTGTCGATGACGTCCACCGGGAGCAGCTCGTTTGGTTATTGTGAAATGCAAATTTTATGTAGGCATTCTACGTTCTCTATGCAAAAAATAAATAAATTCAGAATGGTTTAGTTTACCAAAAGGCTTAAAATGTGCTATGAATTGAGTCTTACATCTAGAGTGAAACATGCATACTTCAGAAAGAAGTTGTTTTGAAATTATGTTGAAGAAAGAAAAAAAACACCCACATACACCATTTCCTTTTTGAATAAAATCTAAATGATTTGACTTGAGCTTAGACAAAAACAAGTTATTGACTTAACACCCAGAGAAAAAAGATGCAACTCTGTTTTTTTCCTGTGTTACAGTTTTGACATAAAATGTTCTTTATTTAAAATTAAAGTTAAGCCTCACAAAACCAACGTGCACGCCCCAAGCGACATCACATACAGTGCGTGGCAACCGAGCCAAGTTTGTTCCCTCTTCATTTTTTTGCGTTTTAATCTAAGTTTGCTGGGTTTATTGAACGGACGCAACACAAAATGCGACTGTATTCAAAAACACTGCATGGATCAAAGCCAAATTTGGAGAGAAGAACCAGAGCGAACTGAAATGCAACCCGACTGCTTCAGAATCAAAGTTCAAAAATCACCAGAGTTGCTCGTCCCCAAGCTGAGTTTTCAGCTGAATGCCTTTTGTGATGTCACCAATCCAAAACACACAAAGTAGAGGTCTTCACTTTTAAATAGCTTTAAAAAGTTAGCATTTCAAAAAATGGAAAGTTAAACACAAACACCAAACTTTGCTACCCAGCTTACATTTCTTGGTGGAGGAAAAAAATAAAAATAAAAAAAATTCCCCATAAGATGATATTTTTAAAGTCAACTGAAACAGTTTGCTCATTTTGGAGGCGTGCGCCTTTTCTAAAATAATGTTTTGCACCTCGCGTACAAATAACAGATGACAAATACATCCACATGCTGACCTGTCATTTCTCAGGTCGTATTGATACCGCGAAGGCTAAAAACAACTGGGTGCATCAGAAGCCGAGAGAGAAAAGGCCGCTGCTGGCAGCGGTATTGGCAGCGGTTTGGCCCAGAAACTCAGGAAGTGGTTCCATCTAACTGAGCTGTGCTTCCTGTGTGATAACTGACCCAAACACGCTGCAACTCTATCGCACACGCACACACCAAAGGAGAGTTAGAAAAAACAAAACATCCCTTCTCATGTTAGGAAAAAAAAAGAAGAAAAAAGCACCTTTCAACCACAAATGAGGATTAATTGGGTTTAACATGTAGGAGCAGTTTAAGAGACTGGAATTACATCCTTGGATGTAAACCGTTGACCAAGCGAGATCCAACACAAACAAAATCCCAAATGTGGGTGTAAAACTTTTAAAAGGAAAATAAAAGAGGGTCGAAGGTAGGAGCAGGTGTGGTAGCAATGTTTACACCTTAAATATGACACTGGCGAGGGGGATAGGGGGCTAAACGGCCCAGTGGCGACAGTATTTATTCCTCCTTTTGTCACATTCTGTCACATTCAAACCACAACCGGGATCTTATGTGATAAAACAACACAGTTTTCATTTTATGTCACCAATGAAATATATATTTTTTTAAAGTCTGAAGAAAAGTGGCCTGTAATCGTTTTATTAGCCTCACCGAGGCACATCTGAAGGGTGAAACTTTCACCCATTTGTCTTTGCCAAACAGCTCAAGGTCAGTCTTCTTTTTTATGACTTATTTTGGATATTTAAAATGAATGTCACTTTAATTTCTAAACACCGTTTAGAAATGAAAGTTTATTGACCTTTGAGAGGGGCCACCTGGATTATTATTCCACTGCTGTTGTATCACTTGGAAATGATCGCAGAACAATGGTATCATTGTTCATCGCAATAGCCTCTACCACAATTGCAGCAAAATGTATTGCGACAGGCCAAGTTCTAAAATATTACTATAATTTGTAAAAAAAAAAAATCTCAAGATTAAAAAGAACAAGTAGACTTTTGTAGATTTGAAGAGTGCTGTTTTGCAAACAAACTAATAGCTCACTAGTGGAATCATATACAAAGTAGATAGCTGTCTGAATTATCCACAGAATTTCCATTACGTCCATTAGAGAAAATTGCAAATTTACTTTTGTAATTTTCATTTCCCTATGAAATGCACTGAAAGAGAATGATATTCTCCTCAACCTGACCCCTGGTCAAGATTTGCATTATACTGGTTGTGTTGGGAGAACTTGGTAAACTTTGTTTATTCCAGGCAAGTAATTATTAAGTTGTTATTGCTGTCGTCATTTTTTTTCTAATGCAGCGTAAACGGTAAAAAAAAAAAAAAAATAGGATGAACAAAAAAAAGAGAAGCTTTTGCACAATCTTCCCTAATATCTGTCCACAATGGCAGGTTGTTTCAGTGGATTTTTTGAAAAGGGGGTATAAATAGGGCAAAGACAAAGGCACACCACACTTTTAAGATAACATTTGTCAAAAAAATCTAAAATGTACTATGCATATGCATAACTTTCCTTTCATTTTACAATTATACACTATTTGGGGTTTTGTCTACAATAGAACCCCCTCAAAATAAAATACATTGAGATGTGGTTCCAACCTGACTAGACAGGAATACGTTTGAAGGCACTGAACGAGAAATATTTTAGAAAGCACATGGAGAATAATCTCCCTCGGAGAACATCGGGTTCTGGTTGGTGGACTCAGGAATTCAACAGCGGCGCGTGTGTGCCGGGCAGAAGGCGGAAAAAGGGAGGGAAAAAGAAAACAAGAAACGAGAAGTGAAAGAAGGAGTAGCAGAGAGGAGCCGGGCCCTGTCGGTGTTGTTCTTAATATCTCCTCCTTCACGGCCATGTTGTGGGGAATGCTCGACCCTGAGGCCACAAACGTTGTTCTAAGACGCGATCTTGCAAGTTCAAACGCAGCTGCCTCCCCTCGACCCATAACACCCACCCCACAGATCCTGACTCACACACACACTTAACACACACACACTTACACAAACACACACACACACACTGCAGCACGAAAGCTTCCTTCCTGTTGCTGGTTTAGCCCAGTTTAGAATCGTGATAAGAGCGAAAGAATTAAGATATGTAAAACAGAGAGAGACTTGAGCTCAGATACCGATGTTGTCTTCTTTTTCCACTTGAGGCAAAGTCTGCCAATTTTTTTACTTTTATTATCTAATACTTGGATAAATATTTGAGAATATCTTGAAGAAATTAGATTTGATCCCTCTTTGGCTTTCTGCAGGTGCAGCTGTGCCTCTAACGGCTCCCCTCACTCACATTTTGTTCCCTGGTGCCTCTCTGTTGTTCTGTGGCAGGTTCAGTCAGACCACAGGACAGTTCACCACCACCCCCGCCCACCACCTCTCCACTTCCTCGTCAAGAATCGAAGCAGAGCAACACGAGTTTCCTGTGACGCCGCTCTGTCTCTAGTCAATTAGAGTAGCTTTTTGCATCACTCCTCCACAAGACAAGGCTCCTGAGCGCATCTGCTGCTCAGCGAAGAGTTTCTCTGCAGGAAAGATCCAACAACACCTTTCTGCTGGTTCGGATCCTCCTCGCCGGAGGGGCCTGCGATGCTGTTTTCATGACGCTGGAGTTACTTCGGGACACGCAGCCATGCTTCAGCAGCCGGAGCTCATCTTTGACTTTGCCAGTGACCACTTCAGCTCATCACAGGTGAGATCTAGTTCTTCTTTTTAATTTCCAAAGCCAGTATTTGATTTAAAACAGCCGTCTGGTTTCAGTTCGGGATGTTTTCAGAGTACCCTGCAGTGGTGGTGGAGGAGGTCCCCCATCAGCACCTGCTGACATACACCGGTCTGATGGGTGAACAGTCACAGACAGAGGATCACCATGAGCTGCTTAAAGGTCAGCCTTCCCACACACACGCACCTCATGCTGTCTGCCACTCCGTCGGTTGCATCTCAGTCACAAAGTTGTCGAAAAATGTCCTTTATGTCAGTAGTTTTTTTTTTAAGATTTTTTTTTAGTCGTGGCACTCACGAGTGTTTATTGCTGTTAACTGTGACTTACATTTCAGTTTTCTGAAATGTAATGTGGAACAATACACGCAGAGCTGAAACGGTTCATCAAATTAATTGTGATTCATCGGTTTCATTGTGATTAACCGGTTTATTGAAATCATCGTCAACCCATGCAGTAATCGGTTATTCGTAAAATAAAAATAAAAAAGAGCCAGTTTCCTGAAGCAAGCTCAACATATTCAGAGCAATAATTAATTACACTTACTTTTTACAAACTCTTTTCATAATCGCTTTAAAAAAAAATTGTCCGTGTAACTGAATTGTGGGTTTTGGTTTGCAGTAAACCATAGCACTTAATTAAAAAGTAAAATAAATAAAAAATAAGTTTAAAAAAAAACAGCGCCTTATCTGCGCGCATGCGCACTGGAGTTCACGGCACACGCACGAACCGCCCTAAGAAAAAAAAAAAGAAAAAAAAAAAAAGTCCAGGAAGTGAAACAAAACATTCCTAGCGTGCTCCTGTTAGTGAAGGAGTCCCAACAGGATGCCGAGGACGCGGTGAACGCGGGCTGCAGCTCTCCTCGTGCTTCCGTCGGAGTGAAACGGTGAGGCGAGTCGCCGGGGTCGCGTCTGTCTGTGGGAGCAACAGCTGTTAAAAGCTCGGCTGTGCTAGCCCACGGTAAACAGCTGCTTTGGAGAAGGACTCGGAGACAGCTGAGGAGAGGGCCTTTTAAGGTTTCTACCACATGGAGGACAGAACCGCGAACCCAGTGGGTGTTTTTGTTTGTTTGTTTGTTTGTTTTTACCTGCTTGGTAGCTTTAGTGGAGCTTCGTCCCCAGCAGATGACAAGTAGCTGCTAGCTAGCAGATGGTCTGTTGAGCTGCTCCACAACCTCATCGCCTCATGAATAAATGCGCGGAAAACAATAGACCCCGTTTTTTGTTGAGGGCTGCAGTCGTCGTCGTGACCATACACATACCGTACATTATGTTTCACACACGTGGTTGCGTGTTATGAGTAAAAAGTAGCGAGTTGTAGCAGAATGCTCCTTGTTAAGGGAACAGTATGTAGACAGTGTAACTCAGTCTGTTACTTATTAACAGATTGTTGAGGCCGACTGTAAATGAATCTCAACCTTGGCGCAAATATTATTTGCTGGTTTAAGGAAAACTGTAATAACATTACAATAGCGTGTGTTATGGTGAGAAACTGTCAAAGATTTTTTTTAAAAAATAAGCCTGTAATGTTGTATTATTGAGGTTTTATTAATAGTAATATTTTGTCTCAGAGGGAAATGACTTTCCTGCTATTTTTAGATAGTTTCTGGTCAATGTTTTCTCCAGACACCTATCATGGACCCTTTAGAATTAGTTACTTATTACTTTGTAATTTAAGGCCATTGCAACAATTTGTTTGTAATTTTGTTTGAAATTACACACAGTAGGCAGAACACTTTTTAGGCAACATCTCGGATTTTTGCATTTTTTTTTCTGAATATCAAAAAATGTAGTCTCATGCCAAACATCCGTTATTAATCCCAAAGGGAACTGTCATATTGCACACATTTCTTCAAATAGCTCTTGTGGATGACAGCTTAGGGCAGGACGGATCTCCTGTCGCAGTCAGTATTACGCCGAGCCTGAAGAAGCCTCTGACTAAAGACACTTTGTTGAAGTCTCATCAAGACTTCTGTAACCAGTAACCAGCTGCTAATATACGCTCTATACCCAGCTATTTTTTTTACCCATGATTTTTTACGTCCATTGTAGGTAAGTGCTAATTGGTTGGAAACATTGTTTCTTGTACATCTCTGTCACGTTGCAGGTCTTAAACTCCACTCATAAATTTGAGTCGGTGAAACCTGAAGAAACCCTGACGTAGCTGATCCACTCAATTGGTCCGGCACGGAGCAGCTTTTTAAAAAAAATCATTAACTATTTGTAATTTCTTTATATTGTAGGTTTATATCAACTCTTTCTCATTCATCTATCAAGCGAAACCTATTTTGCGATATTATATATTTCTGTCTTTTTATCGCCCATCTCTGTGGCGTCTATGGAGATCTGCTCTCACCTTAGATGAAGTTCTTTGCGGGGGAGTCGGCATCACAGGAAGCGAGGGAATGTTTTGGTGACCTCTCCTTCTGAATCCCACCCTCCTGGCATCTGAACTTGTTTTTTTGCCCTCGCTCCTCTTTTGATCTGCAGTGGAGCCATGTGAGAGCGGCGAGGAGGAGACCATGGAGTCGCTAGTTGCTGCCGACTCCCTCCTTGACATGGACTGCGTTGACACACTCTCGCTGGAACAGCACTACTGTAAGCCTACACACACACACACACACACACACACACCACACACACACACACACACACACACACACACACACACTTTCTGATACACAAGTGGTTTGTGCTGGGAGACGTTATTTTTAGATACGATGTTCTCTTTCATTAAATCTGTTTATGTGCCTCCCCCACAGCCCAGGCTTTCCTCCCGTCACTGAGCGATGTCATCACCGCTCCCGTTACCCAGGTAACCGTGTCTGCCGAGGGCGTTGTGGGAGCCGTTGACCAGTCGCAGTGGCACTCGTTGCACAAAGAGAGGCCTGCGGCGCAGCTGCAGTCTAGAAAGAGGAGTGAGTTGTTATCTTTCTGAGCGGAGGGGTGAGGTCACCTGGGAACATGTGCATTTAAAAAATTTGCTTTGTTTCTGTGCGAGCAGGTAAGAAACCTCGACATCGGAGGGCAGAGTCTCCTACACCGGATATCAAAGTAAAGAAGGATAAATATAACAAAGGTATGGGAAAACATCAGTAGTTTCTATGTAACACCTGGTGCTAAATCTGAACTTCAAAATAAAACCATTTAAAAATAAATTAGTGATTCAAAGGGCCATTATTATGTGTTTTCTAGGCACATTGTGCTATAAAATGGCACTATCAAGTAACTTTGCTGCCTTCAGTTGTTATAAAAGTGCTTTATTACTCAAATATTACATAAAATAAATTTTCCTTCTTCATTTAATGCCTGGAAATTGAGCCTGTCTCTTTAAAAACTCCTGCCCTTTCTGGAACTCCACCCACAGGAAGTCGTCACAATGCTCTGGATGGAGCGCGCAAAGAGCCACTAAAGATTTGAGACTCGGCATTTGGTTACCCAGAGCTGTGATGGCCTAGTTTAGATCAGAGTGCATTACATTTGGCCACTGAAAGTGGCTCAGTCAAAGTCTACACCAATGGTGTCAAAACATTTTGCCACCAGACCCAAAGTCACTGAGTTGGAAGTAGTTGGGGCCACAAAAATTGTAGATACTGTTTTAGGACATTTTAAGAATATCCTCAAAAACTATTACTTTTATTAAAATTATGCAAATAGTCTGGTTTTCATAGAAAACTGATCTGTAAGTCATTATAGATTGAAAACATAAAAAAAGGTCTTGTGAATCTAAGAGGCCGAAGGTTTCGACGTTATTTGGATCAGTTTTCTTATTTGGGAAGTAATATTTGCTTTTGAGAAAAACTAAGTCAATGTTTGTGGTTCTTGTTGATCCAAAATTAAGAACATTTTAGAAATATTAGAAATTAGAAGTCTGTATTTTGCACCTTTATGTGTGTGTGTGTGTTTTTTTAAGAAGACATTATTCATCTGTAAAAAAAAAAAAAATGTTGCACTAAAAGAAAAAAAAGTGTCCATCTGGACCTTGATTGCAGGTGAGCCGTAATTGGCTTTCGCGCCGCAATTTTATCTGTAGTAAGACTTTCAAACTGCTATTTTCAGTTGGACTGAAATTTTCACTGCAAAGAGCTTTTCAAATTCAGATTTGCTCATTTCAAAACATAGCATGTTCTGGATCATCAAAGGTCTGGGCTTAGTGATTAAATGCACGAACCACTCCAGGTACGCACATTTCTTCTGTTTCTTTGTGATATTTCAGTACAAACACAATTAGATATGCAACAAAGACTGCGGGAAATAAACAAAAAAGAACAAACGAGTCGCCTTCTTCGCAAAAGCAATAAACGAATGTTTTTGATTCGAAGCGCATACCTTTGGCCTCACATCATTCACTTTCAACAATGGAACAACCAGCAGTTGCGCGGCCACAAATCATACTTCATGTACTTAAGTGGCAACAGAGCCGGAGAGCATTGAAGTGTGCGTCTGGAATATGAGTAGAGAATGAACAGCGGGAGAATATTCCATTTACTCTGCAAAGATTATTCATCTTGCTGCTTTGCTCTTTCTGCAGTGGCAGTGACTTAAGTTGCCATCAGCTGGTTAATTAGGCAGGCCGTCTGACATGTTGCCATGCCGACTGTCGTTTCAAAACGCTCTCGCCTTTTGAAACGAGCGCCAAACTGAAGGAGTTTGGCGCTCCTTCAGTTTGCACATCGTGACTCTGCCTTTTGCGACCTAAAATGTTTCCAAACAGTCAGAATGAGTCATTTTTATAAGTGAGAAATACGGAGGATCCTCGGATGTAATTTGCTTCTGACACATGAACTAGCAGCACTTATCAACTTCCTCAAAGGTTGCATAAAGGACATCTGATAGATCAGCTTGTCCTAAAGGGGATTCTTTGTTAAAGAATTATTTACAAAAAAGTTGCAAACAGGCAGCCGATTTTTTTTTTATTATTGTTTGAAAAAAAAAAAGATCAAATTTGCAGTTCAAACATGCAAATTAAGATTTGTCTTCAAATCTTTATTTTTATTTTACAAAATAGAAAGTTTATAGAAAGGGTTTTACAGTGCAGCTCTATATTTAACTCTATTCCCTTTTATTTTGGTTCTGATCCTCATGTAGACCAGGTGGCTCTTATGAAATATGACAGATCATGACTCCTTATCAAACCAAAGCAACTCTGAGTCACTTCCTACATGGTTGATAATTTTTTTTTACTTGAGTCATTTAACCACATTTTCTTACACAAGTCAGACTTATGTTTTGGAAATACATAAAAAAATCCATTTGAGCCAAATACATGTTTCCTTACTACTTCTATTAAGTCTTCACCAAAGTTATTCTCCTCAGGTTATTGTTCTTTGTCTCTTCCTTTATTCTTCCGTTTTGTGTGTGTTTCTGCTTTAGGAGGGAACACCCTCTACCTGTGGCAGTTTCTGATGGAGCTGCTGCAGGACAGACAAGTCTGTCCTCGCTACATCAAATGGACTGATCCGCAGGCGGGCATCTTCAAGCTGGTCAACTCCAAAGCCGTGGCCAGGCTGTGGGGCAAACACAAGAACAAACCAGACATGAACTATGAGACCATGGGAAGAGCGCTCAGGTACAGCAACTGAAGGAGGGTTTCGGTGGAGTTTTGGACCTCGGTCCTGTTTCAATGGTGCAGCTTCGCTTCAAATAGTATAGGCATACTTTCAAAAGGCAGATGCAGCTAAATTAGTTAAATCTATATTAAAAGTTGTAAATTTGCCCTTGTTGCTGTTGGAACTCAACCTGATGACATTGCCAGCCGCTCTTTGACTTTCCTTCTGGGTGTATAAAGCACGTATTGACCGGTACAAGAAAAAACTACAAATGGATTGGTATAGCTCTAAAGAACAAAACATCTCCGTTCTCATAAAATCAGCTTTAAGATCCAACTTCCTCTTCGAACTTAAACTGAGACCTGATTGGATGTTTGTTCCCCTGTGTTTGTGAAGGTACTACTACCAGCGGGGCATCCTGAACAAGGTGGAGGGCCAGCGCCTTGTTTATCAGTTCACCTCTCTTCCCGTGAACATGGTGTACATCACAGACAGAGATTGCGGCAAAGAGGAAGAGGACGACGACCACGACAAAAGTGGAAACGACGAGGGGCTGAGTGACGGCACCATCTCCAGCGACCAGTCTGTGGAGGACGAAGAAGCGGACGAGCCGGAGGAAGAAGAGGACGAGGAGGTATTCCCGCCGCCGCTGAAGAAAACCTCGTTGGTCTCCCCACGACCCGCGGCGGCGCAGCGGCCCAGATCGAACGCCAAGCAGCCTGCTCAGCGAGACACCGTCCTGCGGCCCACCAGAGCCAGCCTGATCCAGGAGCAGCACCTGCCCATCGTGTCCGCCGAGATGCTGAGGACGCTGCAGAACCTGCAGAAGGTCCGATCACTGCAGCCGGCCGGGCAAGCGTCTGTCTTCAAGACGGCCCAGCTGCTGGGGAGCCTGTGTGAGAGGCAGGCTGCATCCGAGACGGCAACGGACGCCGGCAAAGGGGGGCCGCAGAAGACGCACACAGAACGCCGGAACGGCCCGTATTTGGTGCCTCCCACGACCTTCGACCAATAAACACATCCAGCCTTCGCTTCATACCAAACACGTTCACTCCACTGACTCAGGAACTCTTCCACAGCTGTACTTTGCTGCATCGACGTCTGAATGCCAGGTAAAGCGTCGATCATTTAAGCGTGGCACCAGTTGGACGTCTCACGGCGTCTTTGTTCGGACGACAATCACGGCAAACCAAAACCAACTCAATCGCCGCTTAGACGACGTCACACTCTGTTGTATGTTCTATCAACAAGCTACTCAAGAAACCAAAGACAGACATGCACTGGAACCCACAGCCTCTCTGCAGCTTCTGCAGATCCTTTTTGCTTGCACTTCCACTTCAGGCTTTCCTGGAGTCATTTATCATGCCATCACTTCTTTGTCAACATTTTTATTTTTTAATTTAATGTACAATCACAAGCTGAATCATTCCTTTGCCTTCAAAGCGTCTTGTTTGCACTATGATCTTCACTCTGCTGTACTTTTCTTCTCTAAGTGCCTCGATCCTGGCCCTGCTTTCTCTCGGTCTTTTGCTGATAATCATGAGAATTGTGAGGGAAAAACATTCCATATTGTTGTTATTATTATTATTAAGAGTACTGTTGTTTTTTTTTTTTATATGTTTGTATTGTGATATGTTAAAACAAGGGATGGCTTTTTGCTGCTGTTAAATGTTTGGCCTTTCTTTTCTTGACAATCACAAGTGAAGTGCTTCTTATAAATTCCCGTTGTAACTGTAAGGTCTTTCTGTTTGGACACTGTGCATATATAAGCCTGGGATGTTATATACTGTAAGTTTGAATGTGCTCCTGCTCTGTTGCCATACCCCCTCCCCGGCACTCCCAACGCCCCCTCAGGTTCATTTATTTTTCTACTCTACAGAGACCGTGTACTCCATGTAAGGAGCGTAATGGCCGACTGTTAATAATGAAGTAATTAGTCAAGCGTTTCCTCCTGCCCTGGCCTTAATGGAGCCTCGCGTAGCCAGATCGCGACGCTCACCTCACTCCGCAGGAGCGAGGCTGCCGTTTCGTCAGGCTAAACTTAGTTAGGAGATGCTTACGCAGTGACTGTGCCTTTGCCTGTAGGGAGCCGCTATGCAAAACTGCTTCTCACTTTATTAAGCCATTTGTCTCAGATTCCCCCTCACCTGCGCTTCCCGGGTGTCTCCTGGTGCCGTTTATTCAGCGTAAGGTGCCCTTTAGTCGGAGGATGAGGGAGGATTTCTGTTGCCTTATTATTTCTTTTACGCGTTTTCCTTTTTGTCCAGAGATGGTAAATGGAATAAAGGAATATATGTGTGAAATTTGTCCTCGTCTTAATTTTATTTTATTTTTTTCACGTTGTTCAATAAAACTAAATGTGAGAATCTGCGGTTTGTTTTAGAGGCTTGCGTCCACTCGTCTTTGACTTGAAAGCAAAATGACGATTATTCTTTTAGAACAACCAGTTGGTTCCCAAGTTTAATCAAACCGTTACTGGAGGATAAAACAAAAATGTTTCAGTTTTAGAACCTGTTTTTTTTTTTATCTTTACGTATTTGTTAAAAACTGTCACTATGTTGTGACAGTTTGAGACAGATAATCTGTGGAAAAAATTAACCTTCTTATGCTACTATGGTGAATTTCTGAATCTCCAGAAATTCACCACTCCCAGTCAGAAACAAACAGCCAGTAGGGGCATCTTGGTGCTGTCAATAGTGCTCATGTATGTGTTGCTGAATGTGTAAAGCACTTGGAAGTAGGATTTATGAGCCACAACATTCTTTCTTTAAGCATAAACCTTCTATAGATACTTTTTGTCAGCATGGAGGTTACCCTGACACATCCCAGACTTGCTGAGAAAGAACATAGAAGTTGTAGCGTTGTCTTTTTGTCTATTGTCTATTGAGAACTTTTGATCTCAGAAGATTTTATGAAAAAAGTCAGATTATCATGTCCTTTTTCCCAGTGGTTCTAATCCTCTTCCATACTAAAACACTAATCCTATTAATAGTATGTGGATTATAAATAGAAGTGAGATTCGGACCAGAAAACCAGCTCTCTTAATTGAGTGCTGCCATATCTGGTATAATATTGTGTAATGGTCTATCATCCAGAAATTATTCCAAAAGCACATTAACAACTGCAAAATGTATACTATTTCTCTGCCACATGCTGTCTATGTTAGCTGCATCGACAATCAGGACTTCAAGACTGGTCCTGCTTGTCCTGAAGATTCCAGATAATCTAGTTTTGACCCATCTCAGTTCATGAGTGGAAAACTGCGCCTGACCCTCCAGTCAGCCTACCAGCTACATGCAGGGGTGGATGACACTGTCATCTACTTACTGAGTTTCACCTGGAAAGTGGTGGAGGCACAGAGAGACAGGCTCACAGTGTGTGTGACAAGCTGCTCGGGACGGGTGACGGTGCTTCCACTGACGGCTGGGTTGCTGATTACCTGTCAGATAGGGCTCTGTGTGTTTGGCTGAGGAATACGGTGTCTGATGCAGTGCTCAGTAACATGAGTGCCACGGTGAACTGCTCTCTTCCTGTTTCTGTTCTGTCTTTACACCTCTGACTTTAAGTACAACTCTGAGTCAGACCACCTGCAAATGTCCTCCGGAGACTCTGCATTTACTGATGGACATGAGTCACTGTAGAGATGGATGGGTGGAACTAAATCAAGACTAACGTCCGTTTGGCAGAGTGAAACATCCTCCGACTAACTTCATCACTTCCTCCACTGGAGAGGTCACGGATGTTGGATTGGAGGACCAGCACTCATGTCATGTTATTCACAATAACAAAGTGTACAGATTTTGGTCCCTGAAATCACAAGTTTTTTTTTTTACATGTTTGGCAAAAATCTCCTATCAGTCTGAAGCATCGGCATTCGTCTCCAGTGCAGTGGTCTGTATGGTTGTGCTAGCAGATGCTACAAACTCGAGCAGTAAGTGTTTAGACTGAGCCTGGAGACATTTGAGTGAATTGGGGACAAAATGGCGGGACAGGAAATTGCTTGAAAAACAGCCAACGAAGAGTAAATTCTCCAACGAAGAGTAAATTCTCCAAAGCATTAATACAGACAAAGGTTATACCAAACATTGGACCGTCACCCCAAACTTGTATCTCGTCTAAACGGTCCAGAATTGATCGTCTGCATGTTGCACATTGAGCACAGTTTGGCTGTGTTCCTTAACTCATGAATCAATGTTGAAGACTTCAAAGAAATTGTGTGACGAAACGTCTTAACTGACTAAATTAAATTAGTTTAATTGGTGTTGGACAGCGGCACCTCTGTTGGTAGGGGCTCATCCTACGTGCAATCTGTCCTTGGTCCTTGTTTTCTTGGGCTAGATACTTCACTCGCCTTGCCTGTTAGTGGTGATCAGAGAGTCCAGTGGTACTCTGTCACTCTTCCAGGTAAGTCGTGGCTACGATGTAGCTTCACACCATCAGTGTATGGATTGGTGAATGACTGAATCTAGTCTGAAGCGCTTTGAGCCTTTTGTCTTGATAAAGTGCTATAAAAGAGCAGGCCATTTAGCATTCTATATTCAAGACAGAGGTGTTCAAAAAACGTTCAATGATTGCCTCTAAAAAGATTCATTGTGCAATTATCAATTACTTGCTGAGATTTATTTGCAGTCAGTGTCCATAAAACATGATCTCAACACAGAAAAGACTAAACTTTCCTTACTTTGCTGCAGTAAAGTTTGTATGTTGGCGAATTGCTTTAAATGGGTATTTTTCTCTTTTTAGAGAGTTCACTTAGGCATGTTGGAATTTCTCTACTTGTGAAAAACTTTCTGTGCATTGGAGAGACTTATTACAGGGACTTAAAAAGGCTGGTTCTGGGGACTGATGTGGGAGACGACAGGGCAAAGAAAGAATGGACAAGCCTGAGCATCCTCTTTATTTATAGTGATTGCAAAATTTCCCTCTTTTGCTATTTTAAAACCTCAAATCAAATTGTGCAGCATTATTCAGATTGAAAACCTTCTACTTGCTTGGTGTTTTAACCTTTAATTTACACCTCTCACCTCTTTCTGCCTCTTCCTTAGTAATACATTACTAACTCAGGATTCGACAGATTAAAACGCCACAGCGAGATGTGTTTCCCCCCCCCCCTCCGTCCTGTAAATTCGTGTTTTGGTGATCCATTCCAGGCCAAAGGGAGGAGGAACGTCAGCGTCAGAGCTCAACGTAACCGGATGTTGTCGAGCCGTCCGTTGCGTTCACTGACAGTCGCCTCTAACACGTTTTCTAGTATTCTCCACGTCTAGAACTTTCCTGTGAGAAACACAGAGCGGGTCTGCGGGAGAAACCCATGGCAGCCGAACGGTAAGTTAGACCCACGTATTTATTTCTCTTCGGCTCGTTTTAATGCAACGTTTCCCATTCATTTAACGAAGTCCGGGTGTGTGGTGTTTGCTTTAGCAGCTTCTCCGATAGCTTCATTGACGAAGATCCACGGAAAGCTCTGGAGGTAAACATTAGCTTTTGCTTCCATGTGTGGTTTAATTCTGCTGGCGAAGGTTGTTGGTTTAAAGTTAAAGTGATACGACTAGCTGTTCCGTACAGCTATCCGAGACGTTCCATGATAATGCACATTATGTTAGCATAGGTTTAACTTTGCTAAGTTAGCTAATGTTTCCTGCTAGCACTACTTTGGAAAGCAGTAGAGGGCTGACAGAGACGTAAGGATACTCGTTGCGTTTCATTTCGCCTCCTCTTTGCGTGATAACTTTGTATTCGTTAGTTGTAGCTAAGTACTTTAAAGTTAGCATGCTAGTTAGCTGTACTCTCGTTCAGCATTGAGTTTAACTGAAAGTGAAAGCCAGGAGACATTTTTCAGGTTGTTTCTGTAGCTACAGCATTTAGAGCTTAAGGCAATATTCAGCTCCTATCTAAAGGCGTGTTAGCAACATTTTCAAAACAATTACATGTTAAATGTTGACATGATATTTCATATTTCAAAATCATTCGTTAGCTTTGGCCAAATACCTGAGCAATCCATGTCCCTCAATTCAGAGTAAAAACCTGTAAAATCTTGTGACCCACAAAATCACAAAAATGTTTGATTTTTGGAATATTTGCCTTTAAAGAGTTTTTGCCTTTTCCAACCATTTAAAGGCGAATATCTAGTAAACCATTATGGCTTCCATTTAGGAAAGATCACGAGTTTTCTTGCACTAAAATGTGCTTTCACAGTAACCATCAGCATCTCGGAAATGAAAAAGCTGTGCTGTGTACAATACTTTTTGAAGTAAACATTATAGTTAAGACATTAAAAATTATTCTCTTCAGGCAATTTGAACGATTTTTGTTTGACCAAAGCGAAGAATAAGTGGCTATAGGAGTTGAGGGTTTTTCTTGCCCTTTCTTGCGTTTGTAGTTTTATTTCCACACTCTGCCTGAAATGGAAACCAAGTTAAGACAAATTGTCTAAAGGCTGCGTTGTTCCTTTCAGGCTCTTAACGAGGCTCTCCAAGGAGACAGTGACAATGCTGAGTGGTTCTGCCAGCGTGCCTATGCCCACATACTTCTGAAAAACTACAGCAGTAAGTCAAGTCCACCTTCACACAGGTGGAAACAAAATTACTCCATAGTCGTAGTTGAATATGAAAAGCTACATTCTCACGTATTTATTTGCTAAATAAAGTCGCGCACCATTTAGTATGTTGAGTGTCATTTAGCTTTTGCATATTTTAGTGATTTTATTAAGATGTTCTGTAATTTGTAACTGTTCATTGAACAGTTTTTAAGTCAGCCGCATTGATTTTTTTTTCTTTAACTTAACTACCATGAGGCTTTAAAAAGCCCAAGAACTTTGATTCTGTGGCACAAATTTCTGTAAATGTATCGAATGAGCTCTTGATACCGATTTCTCACAAAATTTGAAAAGTCAGTTTTGTGTAGCACAGTGAGAAACTTAATATTCAGCAATGTAGCATCTGATATCATTGGTAAAATGTTTTTAGTTTGATTTCTAGCACAATATTTCTGACTAGTTGTTAGTCCTTGACTTCTCTACCAACTCGGGTGGAGGTCCTTAAATTCTGCCATGTAATTGGCTAAAAAAGTGACTAGTTACTGTTGAATAACTGCTTTGCCTCGATGATTTACCTTTTTTTTCTCTTCTTTAGATGCCGTTGATGATGCAAAGAAAGCGCAGCAGCTAAAACCCAGCTTACCTTTAGCCTTCATGCGAACAGGGTGCGTAGAATAAAACAACTGATGTTTGTGTAATTGACTAATTAAGTTTCTTGAGGCTATAAATAGTCCCTTAGCACATAGAAGTGAATTTTCAGTTGCCTGACTTTACATAATATACATATTTACATTACGTCAGACGCGTAATTTTGAGATTTTGTGATCTACAAGAAATGATCAGCAAAATTACAGAAATAAGGCCTTGACATTTCAATCCATGTTAGATTTTCACTTTCTAACATGAAGGATAACAAATATAAAACATTAAGCTATTCAAACATGAAGTTTGACCCAATCAAACTTGTCATGCAGCTCAGAAGTTTCTTTCGTTAAAGAAGACGTCTACGCATATTTTACAGAAGACGTCGCATTTTCAAAGTTATTATTGAGAATTTCTCTCTTTTTTCTTTTCTTTTTTTTTTGCTCTTATCCAGAATTGGAGAGTACCACCTGAAAAACTACGAGTCGGCACATTCGGCTTTCACTCAGGGTCAGCAGCTGGACGGTGAGTTCGGTCCACTTCTGCTGTCCGCTTGTGCAGAATCCACTTAAAACCACCTGCTGTCTTTCATTGCCTCTGCGAATATTTATGGTTGCTTTGAATTTATAAATATTTGTTACTATGTTGGGGCACAGAAATCCCACTGGCTTACTCTTACTGAATGTTTTGTATATATGTCGCTGGATTCTCTAAACACGTCAGAATATGAGCCTGTCGTTGTGAAGATTTGTTAATTTACTGCTGCTTGTGGGTAGATGTTAAAATCCCAAAGTGTCGGAACCCATTTTTTCTTTCAATCTGTGTCCTTGAGTCCAGACTGTTATAGCTGATTTCATCACAATTATCCGTATTAATGCATTTTCATTCAAATGTGTTGAAACTGATGGATAATATTATTATAGGCTGAACTTGCTGCACTAAGAATGAAGACTGTAACATAAATACCATAATAAAAATCATTATTACTTTCATAAGAAGTGAGGTTATTAAAGAAATTGATTTGACAACTAAATAATTTGTGAGTGAAATTACAGCCTGTACCCTGAACACACCATCACTCAGAATACACACAGAGGATTCTGTAAGCTGTTTTTTAAATTAATAACTTGATCAATGTTTATGCTTGAGGCTCTTATTGTGAAGGTCTGTGAAAGGTTGTCTCATATCATCTGACTTGAACAATTGAGATGTTTTGCCGACTCCTCCTTTATTAATCAAAGCATATGTCCTGCAGCTTTTTGATGTTAAATTAAAAACATTGCCCCAGTGCTCTGTTGGTTTATCCATTTATAATTGGGAAATAGTTTGCGTTGGCTTGATTCATTTAATGAATAGCAGAAAAAAAAATCAGATATGACCCAGAAGTTGAGCTAATTTTTCTTTTAGCACTATAGCTACCGTAACATCCTCTTTATGAATTTTTCCAGATCAGTTCTAAAGCACTAATTTACTTGGTTGTTTTGTACACTTTCAGTTAGATGCGGTGTGGCAAACATTTATTGCAATGCACAATGCATTGCAAAAATCTACTGATGTTCTGCTTGCATTCTGACCGAAGCCCCACAGCGGTCAATAACGCTAAATCGATAACAGGATTAGTAACAAACCTGGAACCATGAGGGAAAGTTCTGTTCCAAAGAATATCTTCCTGAAGCATAACTGTACAGGTGACCAGTAGTAAATTTACCCTGTTACCCACCATGTGGCGATGACAAATGTATTACCTGAAGATAATAGATTGTGTATTACCTTGTGGTAATTTATATAGTCAGGTAATACATTTGTGTCATTGCCACATGGTGGGTATCAACATGGTTAGCACTTTAGCATTAGCTTCCTCTATATATCATATTGGTACAGCGTTTAGCATTAGCTTCCACTAAAAACCATGCTGTTATACTGCTTTAGCATTAGCTAATGCTGATGCATTTAGCTAATGCATTATCTTCCTCTATATACCATGCTCTATATATAGAGGAAGCATTTAGCATTAGCTTCCACTAATAAACATGTTGTTAAAGGGCTTTAGCATTACCTTCCGCTGAATAATATGTTGGTATCGCGTTTTAGCATAAGCTTCCACTAAATACCATGTTGGTATAGCGCTTTAGCATTAGTGGATCTAATGTTTATGTTTAGTGCTTTAAGGTAAGGCTAGCTTTTTAGCTAGCAGTATACACCAACACTGCATGCATGAAACTCTGAATGAAAGATAAATCGTTATCATCGGCATTGGCTATGATAAGCATATTAGATAATTATCTTCCGTAACAGCAATATTAATATTGGCCCAGATGAAGCGCATTCGCTTTCAAAGATTATGAAAGAGACAGTCTGGTTTTCTGTTCTTCATCAAAATCCTCAGGAGTGTGATTTCCTTATTTTTCTCTAGATTTGGCTTGTATAATTGATAAGCTTAGTGAAGATGATGTGTTTCATATTTCATAACGGCTTAGTGCAGCAATAGCTTTGATACCATTAATTCTGACAACGTTCTAACTCTGTTTGTTTTAGGTTTTGATAACTAAAAGGCTACGAGAAAACATGAAATGTAGCCTTTTTAACCTTTTTTTTATTATTCAGAAGCATTTTTCATATTCCAAATTTAATTGAAACACTTGTCCAAAATACTCTTTTTTTTAAATAATTTCAATGAAAAAGATTACAGAGTTCAGACTTATAATTAAAAAGAAAACTAAGGTACATCATACAGAAAAAAATAGACTTCTAAAGTGAAATCCTTACTTTGGCATAAAATCACCCTGTTTGATGTCTCAGTGTTTACATATTGCTAGTTCATAAAGACTAAATTTAAATCTGATGAGCTGCATGTTGACTGAAGTGTACTTATCAGAGTCACTTTAATGAGCTGCCCACACGTCATTGCTTAGAGTCAAGTTTTCTCTTGAAGTGCTTTTTTATTTGACTCATAAATGCAGTTAATGTGAACTCTTTCTTCTTCGTCTCTTTCAAAGTAAATGTTTCACATTTAAAACATTTACTTTGCGCCTGTTTGATTTCAGTCATGTGAAAGCAACAGTAGATGTTCGTTAGACGAATCTTTTCAGTTGTTGAAAGCCACATTATTGTTACGTTGCTTTAGGAGTGTGTGACCGAAACAAAAACTGTTGTCTCTTTCAAAATGATAATGGCGAAGAGCTTTCAGAATTGACAAAACTTGCTAATGAGACAGATGGACCGAAACGGTCAGGGTCTCACCAGGGTGCAGACAGCAGGAGACCCAGCAGTGTTGGGAAGGAAAGAAGCACAACCAAAGTTGCACTGAGCTGTAGAATCTCTAATATCTCAAAAAAATCTCTAATATCTCAAAGAAAGTCATTGATTCTGACTTTCTTCAAAAGATAAGTAAAGAGAAAAAAGTGATAAAGGGTAACCGGCTTTACTAAGAATTTGATTCTATTGTCACAAAGCAGTGTGAGAGAGAATTGTTCCAGCTGAAAGTGTAACAAATGTTACAATTGTGGTCCCCGACTGAATGTACTGGACTATTATTTAGAATCACACTCAAGTGCTGGAGACTGGAAAACACCCAGATCTCCAACACTGACAGAGGGAAACTTAATGACTGAGCCTGCATTATATGGGGTGACAAAAGGTGGATCAAGGTGGAGATGGTCAATAGTCTCTGGATGTTGGGATAATATAAGTCACATTACTACCAAAAGTATTTGGTAGTGCTATACTGTCGGATCCTTGCCTTTGTGTCTTTTGTGTCCTGTTGCAAATTTTTGGTCCACCTTAGAATTAGAAAAGCATAGAAGTCAACAATTTATGGAGCGGTCAGATCTAGATTTTGTGATTTATTAAGATATGAAATGGAGCTTTTAAGTTTCCCTCAAAATGTAGCTGAAATCTTTGTATTTTTAGCCATCGACATGATCTTCCTCAGCAATGGTGTAAAAATCAGCCACTGTCCTCTTCTGCTCTTCCTTCAGAGATGTTTGGCTGACAGGCCGGCCCACCAGTTCATGTCTGCACATCTGCAATTAACAATAGACTCTTTCTTGTCATATTTAGCAAAATTTAAGACAAAAACAAACATCAGTGTCGGTCAAAATCAGAATCGCAGATTGTCGATTTTGCTTAAAAATTGGTATTTGGGGATCAGCCAGAAAACTGCAATCAGTGCAATGTATAAAGGGAAAAACATTTAAAACGATGCTTTTTCTTGTTTTGTTTGCAGATTCTGACAAATCATTTGAAGTCTGGATAAAACTATGCGAGGAGATGATGGGGAGTAAGTATCGCTCACTTATCAGTAAAGTTTACATTATGCTTACATCTGACATTTTATTAGCGTCCACTTTAACTGCACTTGGCAGCGGTGAAATGTAAAATGCCCCGCCATATCGGGTGTTTGCAAGCAGGATTCTGCTGAGGGTTACTCCCTGTAAATTAGGCCGCGGGTTGTGTTCGCTGCTGCCGTCGAACACGAAACTAAACGGTGCAGTCGGGGAGCGGATCAGCTTATCTGATCAAACAAATGAGTGTGCACATATGCAGGGGATCCGCTCCGTGTGCTCCCTCCACGTTGGAGCCAGCGCCACTCTGTCCGATGAAAGACGCATGCCTCGTCGGGGCTGCTGTCGATGCCGCGGCCCTACGGATTATCTCGAGTAAACGGGAGCACGGGATTTGGCAAACACGCTTCACACCCGCGTGTGAAGCGTGCTCTGACCCACAAGAGCGCCTTGATTTATCAGAGTTCACATCACTGATATTCGAAAGCCTCCAGTGAGACGCAACCCCTTTCTACAAACCCGCGCACACCCGCACACACAGAGAAAGAAAGGCAAGCAGAGCCAACGTTAGTTATGCACACACTGTAAGCAGGTGTTTCTCCAAGCGGCGTCGTGTTTACTACAAGCTAACACATATGGCATGAGGTTACTCTGTTACATGCGGCACAGAGAGTGTCAGAGTTCACACAAGTTCTGCCTCCCGTCGAAAAGCCCCCCCACAGGCCCTGCTTTGCTTCCCATTTCAAGCTCGACCTCATTAAGGCGACATCACCGCACCGCCTATCATCTCATCCTGCTCTCTCCACACACGTGAGCTACGCGGAGAAGCCGGTGAATAATGCATAATAGCACGCTGTGTAAACGGCGCGTGGCTCACGGGGCTTTGAATGGCCGTAGATGGACCAGTAAACAAGCCGGTGGAGAGGATGGGTGAGCGTGGAGGCGCCTCCGTTTGCCGCCCATGGTGTCGGAGCTGAGTATTTAAATATGTTTTTAGAGGCTGTGTTGTATTAAAACACTTACAGAGGATTTAGTTGTTTATGTTGTTCTTCCTCTCCTTTCCACAGCTCAGACACAAAACGGCAGCGACGCCACGGTGAGTTTCTCTGTGGAGCCACTTGGGGGCAGTGTTGCTCTCAGCATTATGGCTTTGAAGGAGAAGTAAAGAAAGAAGCTTGTTGTTTTATTGTGTGTTTTTTTAATTCTTTCTTGTCTGTTTATTGTTTCATGATTTTGTTTTTGTCATTTCTTCCTCTCTAATTATCCTCCCGACTCGGGGGCAGACACCAGCTGCTCCACCTGTGAAGTAAGTGAGCTGTCAGTATACCTTATCTCGGCCTCTTCTGATGTGTTTTTGCTGTTTATCTCCCATTATGCAAACCCTCTGCTCTCCATTACATACTTATCGTGTAACAACGATGTAGGCATGTGGAATGTCTTGTATTATTGATGTTGTTGAATATTAAAATGGCAAAGATGGAATGAATTGAATTTAGTCCCTCGCAGACATGGGTGAATGTGTTGGCACTGTTTCTTGCTATCCTCTTTTTTTGCAGAAGCTTAGCTGAAAGTTTGAGAAAAATCCAACGTCTGAATACATTTTTTGCAAAATAACAGCTTGCAGCAAAACCACTGGTGGCAGAATTATTGGCACTCCTGCTGGCAGTATGCTGCACAACCCTCTTGTGCCAGCAGGACAGATCATTGACCAGTTTTTCTTTTGACAGCAGATTTTTTTTAAAAACTAAATTCTAATCAATTCAGTCATTTTATTTTTAGTCAAAGTTTTGTTTGACCAATTCTTACTAGTTCTGAGAGCTTGACGTAATTTAATGCAAATTTAGTCGACTACTATTTGATGTCTCTGAGGAATTAATCTCTTGGGTTCTCCCTCACATTTCCAATTTTTGTCTTTTTAGTTTGATGTAAATATTTTCTTCTTATGGCGCTGAATTTAAGTTTTAATTTGCAATATGCAGACATAGATTAACTTTTATTTGAAATGGCTTTCTTTGGATTCTCGTTTTCATTAAAGCTTCAGAAACTAGAATCCTGAAAAGCGTGTGCTTTTTAGGCACAGATCACATCTAAAGGCTACGTTCCCACATGACTGCTACGAGAACAGACTGGATTTCATCAGCGACCAATGTCCTGCTGTCCTCTTTTGTTTGATTGTTTAAGGAAATATGAGTCGTTTTGGTTATTCCCCAGAAATCTTTCCTTGCTGTCTGTCGGGTTTTCATCAGGGCAGCTGACAAAAAATGCTAATCAAGAAGACACAACGACAGCTGTTTTTCAGTGTCCTGTCAGAGTCCACCGGGTATTTATTTGAAGTCTCTTGGGATTTCAGAGACGTCATGATGCTGCGCAGCAGAGAAAGATTCAACTAAACTCACCTTACTTAATGGAGGCTCAGGGTTGCTTTTCCAAGTCTGCATTGTTTGTTCCACTTGAAACATGTGTTGAAAAAGTTGCCTGCCAAACATCCACTTGGTATTTAGATGGCGTGCGATGGTTGCTACTACGACTTAGTAACCCCAACATTGCCATTTCTTTGCTGCTGTTTTCCAACAGTGAGCTTTGGAGTCTCTAATCTAATTTACTGTCCTGCTGACTGTTTGGTGTTGAGATAAATATTATTCCTCCTACAGGCTCTCCTGCAAAGAGACAAAATCTCACCAAGACATTTTGTGGTATAAATATTTTAGTACACTTGAAATGAGACAAAACTAACAAGCAACTTAGCAGCAAGATACAGGAGCTTGATTTAATTCAACGATTCCTTGAAATTGATGGAAAAGGTACCAGCTCCACTTAGGAATGCACTGATACACCGATATCTGTGTATTAATATCGGCAGATAACAAATTTGGAGAAACAGTGCTGAATTGACTTAAACGTTTCTCTTGTTTTTTTTTTGTTTTTTTTAAACATAGACAGATAATTGTATCGAATTACAAATAAATCTGATAACTTTGTACCAGTCCACTTAAATACACCAAAAGCTCCACAATCTTGGTCAAAAATGTAAAAACAACACAACTTTATTGGTTCATTTGGTGCAATTAGAAATTGGCCAGTGTAAATGATCAAGAAAATGAAATTGATAAAAACAAGACGTTGACTACTTTGGTCAAGCATGCAAAACATAAGCTGCCACAAACCTTCTGCCTTTAGGGAATTGTAACTGATTGTAACCAATACCCAATCTAGATTCTTCAATATTGGAACCGATACAGATATTAATATCGGATCGGTGCAACTCCAGTTCCACTGACAGATCATTTCACTTTTAACTTGGGAAAATGTCTTGTGAAAGTGAAATAATGTGCCAGTGGGTTCAGTACTTCTTATCAATACTAAGGAAATATTTACTTAAAACAAGCTACAATATTTTGCTAAGTTACTTATAGGTGAGTTTTGCCTTATTTCGAGTGTACTAAGCTTTTGTGTTTTTGCAGTTCAGTAGCAGCCTGAGGCTTAAAACTGGGGTTCTTAAATGCATTTAAGCCCTTGGAAACTGGAAGATTGGATTAGGCACCAAAGGCTTAAAGTAAAATATAAATAAACAATAATTTTCTTGCATTTATTTTGCCATTTGTGGTTTTGTTGAACTCCATAATTCCTTAAAGTATGTCCACCAAGTCAATGCACTCAAATGAAAGATTGGATTTTTCTACATTTATCAGTGTAAGATGAAGCTTCTGCCATTTATTTCAGGTTTTTTTTTAATTATTTTATTTATTTGATACTCATTTGTACTGTTAGTAGTCTTGGTGTCGTCTGTCACTTCCAGGCACGACTGGTACCAAACAGACTCGCAAGTCATCGTCACGGTGATGGCCAAGAACGTTCCCAAGGACGGCGTGCGCGTCATCTTCACGGAAAGAGAGGTACGGAAGCTCACCGGCACGGAGGCCGACACGGTCTGCTTTTCTCTCTGTACGCGCGGAACAAAGACAGGTTATCTTCTGGAGTGTTTCCTCAGGGGGGCCCATTAGATGGGTCTCATCCACACACACACAGATGCAAACACCCACGTACACACACACACACACAGACACACTCCTCCCCACAGACCCAAACATGCCTCCAGTGGTGCCTTGTTAACATTGCCCCCAAAGTACAGATCTAAGAACAATTTACCCTCCCTAGCTTCTGCAACCCTCCTAATTGTCTGTAGATGGGAGGCATAGCTGATCTCGGATCTGCTGCGGAGCCCTTCAGGGACAAGTGCTCCTTTCTTTGACTTTTTCTCTTTTCGTTTCAGTCTTTCCAGCCGTCTCTCTGAGGGGTAACTGCAGGGCACCCCAGGGAGCGGCTTTGTCTTTCCTAATAGAATAACAAACCGAGTTTACCCCGTTTCAAAAGAGAGAGTTCACTCCCCCCCCCCGAATAACAGTCACTCGTTAAGCTCCCTTTGTGGCGCCAAGTAAAGATAAGTTCATATATTTTTTACTAGGTCAGTATATACAAAAGAAATTAAAGATGAAAGGAGGTGGTTCCACTTATTTTCCCCTCGCGACCGAGCGCGGAGCGGCTGTGTACCTACAGACGGCACAGAAATTCAGCTAGAAATGAATATTAAAGCTGTGATTTCTTTTTTCTTTTTTTTCTTGCTGGAATTGCCCAAAAGCAACTTTTATCTCACTTTCTAAGCTCTTATTCCCATTGAAGTTCTTATGTTCATTGGTTCCAGATAAGAAGTAGGGACTTTTAGGAAAACATTAGTTGTGGACCGAGACTTGGGCACATATTGACGCAGCGTGATATTAATGCAGAGTCTATAACCAAGTAGCTTTCTAAGCGTTTAGAAGTTAAGTTGTGTCCCTTTGAACAGGCAATGGAGCCACAGTGTTGGTGAATGACAGGCGGGCCCCCTCGCCCCCTCCGCCCACTCGCTGGTCATCAGAGTGTAGCTGAAGGGGACAGGACGAGGTCTCCAGACGATCACAGCAGCCACATCACATGAAAATTCTCACAGCCTCGCTGACGCCGTCTGTGTTGTTTTACACGTTCTCTGATAGCAGCAGTCAAATCAAATCACAGTGTTTCTCCAACAGTTTCATCACGAGGGATATTTATTTGTTTAATTTAGGGCTGCATCGGTTAATCGGATTGCTCTATTGATCATGATTAATTGAATTCATTGGAATTAATTGTGACAAATCGATTATTGAAATAATCAACTAATTTAGTAAATGATTAACCTGGTGTCTACAGGATCAAAAAAGGCAATTTGCTGAAAATAACTCAACATATTCGGACAAATTAAGCCAAAATTGTACAAGAAAATTTACATTTTGCTTTTAATATCTAAAAAAATACCTTTGTAAATGTGTTTTACACAAAACTCCTTGGGTGGCAGTGTTTGCTCCACCTAGTTCAAATTCAGTAAGGGAATGCTATATCAATAAGATATTTACTTTTTTTATTTTCTTGTGAATGTGCGTCTTTCAATGTGTTTTTAATAATATGTAAACTGCTGAAGTGGTTAAAGGGAAAAATCTGTAGCCAACTGTTTAAAAAAAAAAATCCAGTTACTCGCTAAATTGTCAAATTAATTGATTGCTAAAATAGTTGTTCGTTGCAGCCCTGGTTCTCTTTTAATAGTAATTGTCTTGTTATTGCAGCAGCATCACCTCACTCGCACTTGGAGAGTTTACGAGTTGGTTGCTGATGAATTCTTCCAGAGATAATGTGTAAAATCTGTTTTTCTTTTCTGCAGCTTTCTGCACAGATACAGATGGCGATGGGCGAAGATTGTGACCTCCACTTCCACCTCCTGCACCCGATTGTACCTCACCAGAGCACCTTCAAGATCCTCTCCACCAAGGTAACACTTTCAGGGTAGCTAAACACGCGTGTGCGTTTGTGCTGAGTGGAGCTTAATGTCCAGCACCGCTGTACAAAAACGATTTTATCCTTTGAACTTTTTCACATTTTGCCAGAACACCGCCACAAATTTTAATATGTTTTTGAGAATTTTGGAATTATAGTCCCTTATTATACTTGTTACCTGAAATACGTCATCACATTGCAGTAAGGTGTTACTTCTACCAAACTATGTGTTGTCCTGTCACGTGCAGCCTCAATCAAATGCATCACAGAATGAGGCTGTAACATGACAAAGGTGAAAAAGGTCAACACTTTTGGAAAGGCGTTGAAGATTTTTTTTGTAAATTTGATGTTAGAATGTCTTTCTTTTGTTTTTTTTTATTTCTTAAAGAGCACCCCACCCCGTTGTGCCAAACTGTCACCTGCCAACCCAAAGACACATGGAGGTTTTGTAGTGTGCCGGAGAACAAAGAGGGAAATAACAGCCTGCTTTTGTTATTTATTTTTTTCTAGGTCAGAGTGAACACAGCCAGGCGACATTCAGACACGTCATGATGAAAAGGCTTCAGACCGAACAAAGCGCAAATTTGACGCGAGTCTCGGCCCGTCGCGATAAACAATAAATCAGTTAATCGCACAGTAAATGAAAGTTAACGACCTAATTTTAATTTGTTGGTTTATCGTTTCTTCCGGCCTTTTTCTCTTTCTATTGATGACTGAAGGCTCGACTCCGGTGCTTTCCCTTCCTCGTTTCCTTATTGTCCAGTTCACACAACACGCCGATTGTCGGCCATTTTCAAAACCTGAGACCACAGACTAGCAGACAAACAAAACGTAGGTGTAACAGGTTTGATCGGGTCCAGCCACACGGCAAGAGCAACACACGAACTGATTTCTCTCACCGACATTCACATTTCAGACAGGAAATTATGTAAATGTCCACTATATCAGACGTCAATGTAGAGTAAACAGACATGGCTGATGACGTAGAAGCAATAGCGATGGTTTGTGAGCTTATTTTAAGGTATAAAAGAAAAGGCGTTGGATTTAAGAGTGAAGGACAGGGCTTTATTTGCTGCACTGTTAATGTGGACGTGAGTTACTCCGTTTTTTTGTCTTAGCGAAAGATGAAAAAAGTGAGAAATTTCTCCAATTAATCGGACATTTCATTTTTTTTTTTTTACCTGTGGCCTTTCATTTTGTTTTATTTTTCTGTTAGGTGCTTTAATTCCTTTGTCAGGTAAAACAACGTTAAAGCGGGAAAAGAGCATGCTGATTTGAGTTTAAGCTGCTTACTGGGACCATGGCTGATAATTACTGGGGTTGCTGCGCTGAGATCAGCTTCTTAATATCTTCAATAAATTAAAGCAGAATAAAGTAGGCTTTCCCTACCTTTAATTCCTTAATGCTGCTGAAGCTTTCTGAAGCTACAGTGGAAACGGGGAAATCCACTCTTACTGTATACAGTGCAGCTTCTGTGTAGACATCAGTGAAGGTGTAAATCCATCCTCCCTCACAAACACACATGCACTAGTATAATTTACCCATTGAAAGTTCCTCTGCACTCTTTAAGGCGATTACTGACCTAATGAGGAGGATGGCTACTTTTGCTACTTTTTTTTTTTTTTTTTAACTGTGCTCTAATTAGTGTGTGTTACAGATGTGGGCTAATGAATGTGCTGATTCAGGATTTATACCAATGTCAGGTTTCAGCCCCACAGATCAAGAAGCAGATTTTATCCAACTTTTTTTCTTTAATCATCAAGGCTGTGAATGTTAGATCTTTTTCCTCCTCCCCTCCTCTACCAGGGCATTGATTTGCCCAACCCAGCAACATGGAGCTCTGCTCTACTACAGCATCTTCTTCAACTGCATTCTTTTAAGACGACAGATTTGCTTCTTTTTTTTTTTTTTTGCTTCTCTGGGTGTTTTCATACATAATAGTCCGGTAGTCTTGGTTTAATTCGAGACCAAAATTGCAACATTTTCAAATTTTTCAGATAGTTTGGTTCGTTTTCACACTGTCAAACAAACCAAACCTTTTGAAAAACCTGTTCACCCCTCACCTGTGGAGGCGCTGCACCAAGAACCAATGAAGGAAACGACTCCGGCGCTTTCCCTTCCTCGTTTCCTTATGACACTGACCGACACTTTAACTGTTGTGGGATTTCTCATTTGTGGTTAGTAGTAGCCTATAGGCTATTTGTCCTGCTAGCGCCAGGCTCTCGCGTTTGTTTTGGTTCCATTAGTTGCCCTGTTTCGTCTGCTGTAATCAAACTCCAGTTAAGTCCGGTTTGTTTCGGGAGGTGTTGATGCGCAACTGAACTTTGGTGTGGACAAAAAAAAAAAATGAACAAGCCTAAATGCCTGGTGCAGTTTGAATGCAGTATGAATGGAAGCGGACCGGAGACCACTCCAGAAGTCTGAAGCGGACTATGATGTGGTGCATTCACAAACACGTGAGTGCTAGCGGGAAAAATGGTTCGTAGTCTTTTTCCAAAGACAAAAGAGAGATCCTAGAACCACTCATTTTTTTCTATATAACCGACTGTTTACATTACTTCTTCTGAAGATTTTTGTGTCGTTCCTTTCAGTGTTTGTCGTTCCTTCTTGGTGCTGCGCCACCTCAGGTGAGCAGGTTTTTCAAAGGGTTTGGGCCGTTTGACTGAAACAGCTGAAGATGTAACAAATGTTGTGACCTTGACCCCCAAACAAACATAGTCTACCAGACTATTCGGTGTGATGACATCCTAAAAATGACCTCAATGGGAGAATTAAAAGGAAAAAACAACTTGTGACTTAAGACAAAATAAAGACTTGTCTCACATTTACCCCCCAAAAATACTTTGAAGATTCTTCAAGACTTAGGAAAGCATTCTTTGGAGTAATTAAACTAAAGTGAAACATTTGGGATGGTGTATCTCATTCCATTATATTGAAGAAATAACCTTCAGCAAACAGAGTTAGCAGCCTTCCAATATGGCTGAATTAGAGCAATTCTGCACAGGAGAGTGGGACCACAATTTCTCTGGAAAGACTTTAAAGATTCTTTGCCAGACTTTGTAAACGCTCAATATCAGCTGCTGTTGCCAATAGTAGCGCAGCTGCTTATTGACTCTGGGAGGTAATTGTCTCTTAACAAACTCTTCATTTGTAAGCTAAATTTTTACAAAAGTTCTATAAACTGTTAATGATGTGAAAGATCTGATTAAAAAAGAAACGGCTAAAAGCAGGATCCCGAAGGAGTTGTGTGTGTGTGTGTGTGTCTATATATATATATTTACACCACCACCGTGAAACTACTGGGAAACTTCAGCAAAAAGTTCACTGAGAATATTCTACACATTTTGACACAATTATCAAACTGAAATCCAACACCAAGTCATACGGAGAAGAGGAAAAAGTTAATTTCTTGCGAAAGCATAATGTTACGGTCTATATTAAGACAGGCGACCTTTATGAGAAATGAAAAAGGAATTTGTCTGAGATACACAAACCACCTACATAGAGGAAAGTGAGTGCATCAGAGCCTCTTTTGAAATGGTTGATTATAATGAGAAAACGGGTAAATCAAGTCGTGTGTGTGTCCATGTTTTTTTTTTTTGTTGTATTTTTTATATAATTGTCAAAGCAGTGATGTGGAAGCTCTGTGTGACTTAGAACATTTAGCGTCGTTCGCCATCCGAGCAGCATGAGCATCGGCCGTAGAGGCGTTTGTTTTGCAGATCACAAGCCTTTGAAGCCTTTTTTGCTTCACATTGACTTTGCAGCAACTTATTACTGACGCAATAAGACAGAAAACCCCTGTCCTAATTTGTCCATAAAATGGACTTGGAGACGTCAGAGATCAGAGATGTGTCCAAGCCTATTTTTCTTTTTTTCACTGTTATTATTCTTCAAGGCAGTTTCTCACAGAAACTGTGGCAGTGGGGTGGGAGAGAAAATAGGAAAACTAGCTTCCGACACGAAGCGAGCCTTAAAGATGCGGGGCGGCTTGCGCTAATGCGAGGCTTTGTGTGGTTAAACACGCCAGGTCTGCCTCTAACTTGTCTCGTGCTCGATTGCAGCAACGATTACCGCGCTGCCCAGCAGACAGGAAACGGTGACTAAGACTCTGTGAACGCCCGCGGGCCACGCCGCTGACCTGTAAACATCAAATCACTTCCCAGCGAACAGATTCCTCCCCCCGCCCCCTGGCGTAACACCGCTGGGCAGTCACACAGCAGACGTCTGGAAACGTCAGGGGGAAATCAATCGCTGCTCGTTTAGCACTTTCTGAAATTTCTCCTCATTAGAGAGAACTTCACTTGATGTGGTGTTTATCGAAGCCCGCGAACCCAGCCGAGGATTGAGAATTACACTTGGATGCACCGTGCCGAGGGAAAATCTTTTAGCGGATTTCTATGCAGTTTGCTTCAAAGGTATCAGATTTCCCGTTGCAGCAATCTTGATCTTTACTTCTCCGGGGCTTCGAAAGTTCTTTTTTTCTTCCTTTATTTTCCATTCCACACACTTTCCCTCCAGTCCTATTACCACAGCCATCACAGCGCATAACACAGTTAGCAGCTTAGAGGATGACTTCACAAGTAAAAAGAGATCAAGGAGAGTTGAAAGGTATCAAAGTCGTGGTTTAAGAAATGGGAAAACATTTTGCTGAGTCAGGTGAAACAAATATAGTTTTTTTTTTTATCTATTAATTTTTTTCTCATTGCCTCAGATTCCATTTTCTCATCTAATATTTGAAGAGGCGAACACACCAGAATAGCTAAAGCTCCGAATACATCATTTCAAGTTTCAGCGCTGTTCAAAAAGTTCGTGGGTTCAGCAGATTTTTGTGAGATGAATAGAAATTCAATTCAGGTTATTTACGTAGCACCAATTCACAACAACAAAAATCATTTTACTTAAGTCACACATACATTCCAGTTGATCCTAGTTATCAATCAGTGCATTAAGCTCAGTTTATTGGTCAAATTTAATGAACTAATCGCCTTGCAG